TTTATATAGCTTCACGTCAGCTAACAGATTGCGTAAAAATCACAATGTTGATTTTAGATTGAAAAATAAACGATTCATATTTAATGGTTTAATAAAACTAACTTGTACAAAGGCATTTGAACATCTCTCCCTCTTTCTCTCTCTCTCATTATTTTTCTTATAATCTAAACAATAATAATATCAGTAAATAATTCTTAGACAAAAGACTTTTGGCACGTGTTATACCAAGTAGAATAGCCAAAAGATTTGATTTTATTATTCTTATTATCGCGTAGTTGACCTACGTGCAAAACGTGACGTAGCTTTCTCTCTCTCTCTCTTTCTCTCTCTTTCTCTCTCATCTTTTGACAAGCAAAGGGACGATGCAAATTGCATCGAGAAATCACAACCGTCCCAAGACCGAGCTCTATTAATAATAGATCGTATTAATAGTGCCACGGTTCTATAGATAGTGCCATCAGGTACCTAGGCTTGCAAGCTGGTTATGGACGCATCATTAGTATACTTCAACTGAGTCTCTCATTTTCACGACGGACTTCAAACATGAACTCTTGTAACTTTGACACACCTATTTGACCTATGTAATTGATTAGCTAAAAGAGAATTACTATGTTTAATTTCCTGTGTTTTTTTTCGTGTCAATGATTTAACGTTAAAATTGTCAAACACATAAAACGAATTCATTATTTTGTTTCAAATATTCGTCAAATTGGCGAATGTGTTAAAAATATATCGATTGTTTTAATATTAAATCAATAATAAATATTCAATTTTTTGCTAATTTAATGTGTAAAACACTTATAAAATATTTTTAATGATATTTTTAAAAGGCTGAAAGTATACTTGCTAATTAAAGGTATACATTATTTTGTTGTATCTCTTGTATACAAAAACTTATGAAATGTATTGGATTAATATATTATTAATTATGAGATTATTTTGGCATTTTACTTTATAAAAATGAAGATTAATATAAGAGATTGATATTGTAGTTTAAAATGTTATTTTTCAATATAAGAAACCAAAGAAAACAAATAGGATCTTTATTTCTACGAAATCCAAAGTATTATGAGAAAGATTAAAAGATTAGATTTCTTTTAATCTTGTCTCGAGATTTAACTTGATTTACATACATATAAACCAACTACGCTTGATGATTATCGATTTTCCTTGCTTGTAGTAGAATCAAACCTGTTGCTACGGTCTGTTATATGTGAGAGCGAGTGAAATAGACAAATTAGACTAGCAAAAGCACTTGTCTATGAGTTCGGACTAAACCATCGTCCACACTTATCTAGTAAATTTAGGTGCACGGATAGATTCAAAAGTGAGTGTAAGCGTATGCATTTTGCGTATATATATTATACTTGTGTTGAGGACACCCAAGGCTGAGTTAGAGAAAATGAGTCGAGCTTAAAAAGAGTAGAGGAGACGAAGAATGAATTTGTGTGTGTGTAAATATATATACATATATATATATCTATTTTGGAAATTAGCCAAGTAACGTGCGCCTTGAAACTTAGAGTATTGATCTCGCGAAATCTTATCTGAGCTTATTGGCTTGTTCATCCATTATCGTAATTCATCGATGTTTGCTTTAATGGAACCTCCTGTCACGATCTATTCTTATGAATTAGATCGTTAAAAGTACGACATTTCCACGTTTTCTTATTGCCAATTATACTATGATACATATTTATCATCATTTAAAGTGATGAAATATTGATTTAATGTAAGCATATTTCATCGTTGAGAGAATGATGTTATATTATCTTTTCTTCCGAAACAAACAAATAAACAAATTAACGAAAAATAATTTGTATTGATGCGATTGCATTTGAAAATTACATCACATAATTGAAAATATATTACACGTTTAATTCAAGAGATTACGTCTCGATCGAGAAATTATGCAACCGCGTTATTAATTTAAACCTAATGAGCTTGTAATTGGAAGCGAACGAATTGAGGAATAATCGATAAACGAGATTTCTCTTTTATCTGAAAGATTAAACTTTAGTGGAATAAATAATAAGTACGTGGAATACGTGGAATGAAGAAAAATTTAGCTGTTCATCCAATTTTAACTTTATCTCTTCTTTCTTCCTTTCTTGCGTTTATCAAAATTTATCTTTATTTCCGACTTATATCACTGCAATCGAAGTTTCTCTTTCTTTTATAAATGTGAGCACACACACACACAAATATATATACATATATATTTATCTATCTATATTTGTCTTTTCCGTTCTGTGGGTTTCATGTTCGTTGTTATTTTAACCCTTTACACGAGCCAAATTATTTAGACGATAATTCAAAAGTAACATGGTTTTTAATTGGCTTCTCGTAATTGGCATTAGTTATATGATCTTGAAAATGCATTTGTCATCCGTAAATTACCGAATACATTTTTATACAATATAAAATTTCTTTAAATCAAATGTTTCTGCATATCTACTTATCCCTCTCTTTCTCTCTTTCTCTTTTATTTTTCAACGAATTTCCTAATTCTTCTCTGAGTACGATATACTCACACCAAGATACGAAGGCCAAGTGCAAATACTTCAGGTTGAGTAAGGTCGACGGCTAATTGCCAACTAATTCGCACTTCTCTTTGCAAGCGAGAAAAGAATTGTCTTGGTTTATCAACGTATTTTCCCCTACTATCTTCTTACTTCGTCAAATTAGGTAAGCAACATGATCCAACCCAGAGAAAATTGTTGCTATTGAATTTGTGTAAACATTTTTCTAAGATATTATTCTCTTCCTCTTGGATACACAGTCACAGTATAACTCTCTCTCTCTCTCTCTCTTTTTCTCTCTCTTTCTACTGTCTACGTAAAATTATTATTTGATTTCTCGATTTATTTTTCTACCTTTATCGAGATATACTATCGTTATTACATTATTGTCTGCTTTATTTTCCTCGGAAAATAATTCAAAAAACAAAATTTTATTTTGATTTCATCCAACGATGATCATATACAATTTAAAAAAAAAAAAAAATATTTATCATCCAAAATATATAGAGAGAAAAAACTAATAGATAAACCAAAAGCAAATAGATTGTTTTTTCTAGTCTAAAATAAAAATATAGTCACGATAATTTAGGTATTTGCATATCATCAAAGAAAAAAGAAACAAGTGAATAATAAAAATTTATATTAAATTCCTATAGCGATGCTCGTATACATACGAGGATGAATTGAAAAGTTTCGAGCCTCGATAGAAAAAAAAGGAATAGTTGTTTGTTAAATAAAAGTGTTTGACCGAAAAAATAAAACAAGTTTCCTATGTTAGATTCAAGTTTTTCAACCCATCCACGAATAACTCTTGTTGAAAGGAAACATTAACGAAAAGTTTGATCTTCAACATAAAAACTCGAACGCGTCTGTCCTATAATATGACTACCTGATAGCTTCAATCACTGTTAATTGCACTTTAACATACTTGACTAAAAAGAGGAGAGAGAAAGAGAGAGAGTCACGTATCCAACGCCGTTGTCGTGATTTTGTAGGAGAAAAGGACTCTTTCGTTTTCTCTTTTATGGTCGTAGCACGTAGACGTCGCATTACGCGACTGCCATACTTGTAATAACATTGCATAAAGTGCAGTATCAAGGGCTGGTTAGTCTGCGGTAGGAATAGTTAGATGTCCTTTCTTTATACCTTTAAATATCATATTACGATAGAACAGGCTACGTTAAAAAGTATTTTTTTTATTCTTAAATTAACGTTTAATTAACATAGACGACATATCGGAATCAGTTTTTGACGTTAACGGAAAAGTGAACTGGAATTAGATTCAACAATTGAATCTTTTATTTGTGTTATTTTTTTTTTTTTTTTTTTTTTTTTTTTTTTACTTCGACGATAAATCTCTCGATAATCACAAAAGTGGATTAAAACAAAGAATTGACAAAATTAATTTTATGATTTATTTTATAACATTTTAACTACCGAAAATTTTTGTCCGATAATATCATCTCAAGTTTCAACACCTACGAATGTGTTCGTTTGAAATATATATGAGTGTCTCTTTTTACCGTTTTATTTATACATATGTGCTTTTCTATATAAATGTACTGAAAAATCTTTGGGGTATTGAAGTTTGTTCGCGTAAACGTGTTTATTGATAAAGTTCATTTACGGCATTGCATTTTGTATGAATTCCAACAAGGTAGAAATTTGGGGAATGTTTTTGATGAAAATACAATTTTTGACGGAAAGTATAGGAAATGGTTCGAAAAATCTGAACGATTTCGCTTAGCGATTTCGATCTTAATGACAAGCCATATTCTGAAAAAGTTCAACTCAATACAACTATTTCGGACCATATTCGAAAACTTATATTAGTGTATAATTCAAAAACAGACAGAACTTTCTATTAGACTTAATATAAATAATTTTAATCTAAAGTAAACCATAAAAATAATTTTTTCAATATTTTGACATAGTCCACTATTATAATTACCAACACACATATAAGTACAAATATATCTAATTTTTATTTCTATTTTAAATATTATTGAGATATATACTTTAAATTTTATCGGAATTTTTTTTCTCTATTTCTTTTTCCTTTTTTGCAAAGATGCCGTAAAAAGTACTTCCGTAAAGGAAGAAAAGAGTAAAAAATTTAACAATGCTGTTACGCGTTAGGGAGATAAATAAAATTAAAAACGAGGTCGATCATAACGCGCTACGAGAGACAACGGAGCATATGCACGTAAATGGAACGCAATAATACAAGAAAGGAAATTGTAATAGGTCAAAAACGTAAAAGCCTTTGTAAAATTTTATCGGCAATGATGTTACCAATCTACAGAGAATATCTATGTATATTGTAGTCAAATAGTCTGAAATTTAAATCAAACTGTGGTATATCTTAAGAAATATGAAAGACAAATCGAAAATTTCGAAATATTATAAGAGAAGTAGTAGATGTTTTCTAAAGAAATATTTTGAAGAAAATGATTTTTAATAATTTATCCATTGCAGGGCTGATTATTGGAAATCCCAGGGACGAAAATTCTGTGACTTTTGTAAATGTTGGATCGCTGACAATAAACCGAGTATCGACTTCCATGAGGGCGGGAAGAAGCATAAAGAAAATGTCTGCAAAAGACTCAAAGAAATACACAAGAACAGCGCAAAGCAGGCAAAACAGAACAAAAAATTCGAGGACGATCTAAAAAAGATGGAAAATGTACGTAATTATTACTACCTTTTGTATAAATATAACAAACAGAATTTAACGAAACAACGAATTAATTAATTAAGAAATTCTTGATTTAGCTTCATATAATATATATAATTGTAATTAATTCTTTTCTCGTAGGCTGCCATGGCTGCTTATCTCAAAGATGTTGAAAATAATACTAGAGACATGACGGCTGATAGGATAATAAAAGAAAAACTAAACCGAACGGAAAGTCAGAAAGTATGTAACATTTTCTTTTTTCCTCTTTGTTCTTTCTTTTTTTTAAGTTCTCAAAGAAAAAGCAATATTACAAGACTTTGTTTATACGTAGATGCCACAAAATGCAAATGTTATGCCAGCGGCTGCACCGGAAACAATACCGAGATACAAGCAGAATAATTATCGACACGTGAGTATATAAATAAAATTTGTTTTTTACCTTGATATTAATTTATTTCAATGATGGCTGATTAAAATCGATTTTCTATATGAACTATTGTACATAATAATTACGAAGTATGTATATCGATCGAAGGCATTTGAAAAAGCTATGAAAGAAAAAAAGAAATTTGAAAGATTTCTCCAAACAAATATCTTATTTTTTTTTATTTATTTTTTTCGTTGAAATCGTATACAGTTCTCCCAAGAAATTGATCCTTGCGATCCGATGGCTTTGACGAGGTTGTCGCATGCGAAGAACCAACAGAGTGCCAGCTTCGAGAATAAAACTCAAGGGAAGAATAAAGCTTGTAAAGGAAAAGGAAAAAGGAAAAAGGCCCAAGAGGACGATGGACGAAGAAAAGCCGTCAGGAAACTTTGGTACGAGGCTCTCAGTCCCGAAGGATACACGTACTACTGGCACATAGAAACTAATGGTACGTATATATATATATATGTACATGTAGGTGTGGATGTGGGTATATGAGTTTATAAGTAAAGACTACAATTTACTACTTTCTCATTCAATTGCATTTTTATTGAAATAGAAAATAAAAGAAAAGAACATAATTAAAAAATATTTTCATCTTTTATATTTAACTAGAATCAGTCTGGGAACCTCCAGAAGAGGGTTATATGACATTGGTTGAACAAGAAGAGGAAGTGAAAGAACAAGCACTTCAGGAAGAACTTTTACAACAGTTAGAAAAAGAAGAAGAGGTCAAAAAAGCCAATCTTATCGAAGAACAAAGGGCTAATGCAGAACGAGAGAAAATGAAGGAATTGAGAAAGCAACAAGAAATAAAACAAGAAGTACAAATTAAAGAGGAAGAAGGAGAAGAAGTCATTGTTAATCAAGAGTCAGTAAAGGTAGAAGAGAAACCTTACAGAAGAGATTATAGTATTCCAGAATTTCAACAGCCTTATGGATCCTGGGAGACCGTCAGAGTAATGTAAATATTTGTTTATAAAATGAAAACCACCATCAGATATGACCCTTGTAATAGAATAAATTGGCTCTAAGGATTTTTAATATATAAAACCAAAAATAATGGAATTATTTCAGGTGGTCAAAGTTACTCATGACCCTATACAGATATATATATATATATAATATATTTTTCTTACAGTGAAAGGAAGCCTATAGATCTTCAATTACCGCAGCAAAAGCAAAAAAATTTGCCTACCTTCGAAAAATCTGAACCACCTCCGCCTCAAAGAACCTTCAAAGAAAAAACTTTTACTTCTATATCGACGGGAGATAGCGATGACGAGGATTCATCGGCAAGCACCTTCAAGAAACGAAAGATAGGAAATAAGAACGTACGAAAGAGATTGGATGACGATTGATGCAGCTACGTGAATGTTTCAAATGTATTTCAATTGAAAGATAACGAGAATGCTCTTTGTACGTACTCTCTAATAAAAACTTGAAAAGAACCTTTAATAATACCACATTGTAACAAAAACAGAAAATTAGACATTTTTTTCGTAACATACTTCCTATTAGTATGAATACTTCCAAAAAACATATTACTTATTATGTTGAACATATTTAGACTTAAGGCTTATGTAATTATTTGTATATGTATAATATATACTTGTGTACGCTAAGCTCTTCCCGGGCATTTAATTAATGAATAAAAAAAAAGTTAGAGATAGAAAAACAAAATAAAACGAGAGAGATGCAAATATAAAATATATATTTATAATTACTGCCATTGTAGATTTTTTAACCACATTATGAAAAACATTACCATAAAATATTCACTACAATACCGTGTTCAAATATTTCAGTACAAATATTATTGAGCGGCAATATAATATTGTTTCAAATATAACGTACATTTTTCTTTACCACACGAATATTTTTTTTTCAACATCCTTTAATCACATCTGTCTTATCCTACATACTCTATACACATATTACTAATATAAAATATGACCGTTATTTATATATTATATATTGTGTGTACATATAATTTATCTATAATATTTTATCTATATAATATCTATCATATTTATAAGTATATCTATAATATTCTGTCAAGAATAAAATATTTTTTATATAGAAATCGAAAAAAATAATCCATAAATATCGATCAGCCGGTTAATACATTCTATATATAATAACTAACGAAGCACTTATTGCACAGCTTCAATATACACTTTTTCACAACAATCTTTCATTTTCACTTATTCAAGGATTTATGAAAATTTATCTCATCTACGAAAACGTCCATTTTTTTTAAATTATAGAGATCTCTAAAGATCATCAAGCATTCGATAAGATCTTAACGTTAGCAGTTGTCGAATTCCAAGAATCACCACCATTTAATTCGTTAAAAATATCTTCTCGCGGTCGTCCCTTCGTTTCTGGTACCATAATAAAAATGAAGAAAAAAGTACCAATACAAGAAGTACCCAAAATAAAGAAACATCCGTACATGCCAAATATTGCTACTAGATTCGCGAAAAATTTCACTACCATAAATGCCACGATCCAAACAAATAAGTAACTTACTGTAACTGCCAGACTGGAGATGTCCCGACTGAATATCTCAGAGGAAATCACGTAGGGTGCAGGACCCAAACCCAAACAATAAACGATCACGTATATTGATAAAGCTACTACCGGTATCCAACCGAATGCAGAAATATCATAATTTAATTTTTGAAGATAACAAAAAGTACCAAGAACATAATGGCAAATGCACATCCCTAGAGAGGATATTAATAGAAGAGGTCTTCTACCGGCTCGTTCCATTAGTGAAGTTGATAGATAGGATCCTACAACTTGTATGGCACCTACGGTGATTGCAGCTGTGTTCGGTGATAATGAGCTCCCTGATATCCGAAAGATCGTTTCCGTATAGCTTATCTGTAAAAACAAAAAATTCATATTTTGTTTAATTATTATTTGATAATTGATTTATAAATAAGTCAAATTTTAAATAAACAGTTTAATAAAATCAACTCAATAGCTATGCAAAATGGAAAAAACTAGGAACTCTGATTATAAAATATGAGGTAGATTTATAAAAAGAAAAATAATTCTTATTTATAATTATATTTATTTATAAATTAACTCAAACGCATATAAGATGAATCATTTAGGAAAGAACGATTTAATTGTCTCTTCAAATGTCGTCAGTACTTTGTATCAGATAACGAGTGACGAGTCAATGTTTAAAACGCGACATTTATTTGTTAGATATAAGGACACTTGCAAAAGATTTATGCTTCCTATCGGGATAGCAACATTCAAACAAATTTAACAAAAGCTAAGCAAATCAAATTTCTGCATTAATTCCTCTCTAGATAATAGTTATCAAAGTTTGCTCGTTAACAATTTTTCATATAACAATCTGTAAATACACTTACCATAGCAAATATACCACATAGTTGTTGACCAGCAAAAAGGCCTAGTGAAATCACCAATCCCTTGATCGTTCCTCTATCCCTGAAGAGATCTGAGAGACCAATGGATTTAGTTGATATTGCGGCTTCCTTCGTAGCAATCTGCAAACGTAGTAACTCTCTCTCCACCGTCAATTGGTGTCCCGCCCTCAGCCACATCAAAGACCTGCGATAGAATATTCATACCTACATTTCGACCGAATCCTGAATATTTATAACCACCCTTTCTTTCTTCTATCGATAAGATAAACTATAAAAAAAGAGATATCTAGCTTGATTAAATACCCCTACGTATCTAACAAATACTCACCTAGCAGCCTCACGAAGTCGGTTGTGACGAACCAAATAAACAGGTGTCTCTGGTAGGAAAATAAAACCTCCAAGATAAATCAAAGATATTATAGCGATGCAAATATTGAAGATCTTGAAAGGCAAAAAAGCGCCTAATATGTAAGCTATCAGAATTCCAGTGTTCAGCATCAAAACTAGCAGACTACCCAGCATACCGCGTATCAAGTCGCAAGATATCTCGGAGATGTAAAGTGGTATTACAAAAATTGCACCTGCGCCTCCAATACCAGCGAAAAAACGTGCGATAAAAATATGCATTGAATTAGTTGCAAAAATTGTTAAAAAAGAACAGATCACGAAAGGTACGGCAATTAGATAACCGGTGAACTTGCGTCCAAGTTTCTCTGATAACGGACCCATCATCGGAGTTGTTATAGTTCCTCCTAAACACATAATTGCACTTAGCCAAGAAACTTCTTCATCTGTCATCGCTATTGTTCCAATTGGCGAATTTTCACTTTGTAATTGCAGTGCACTTGGGGATTGCCAACCAACCATTGTCCCATACGCCATGGCTGATAGATTCACTGTAGAAACAAAATTACACATTGACTTTTTCTTTCCATTTAATATCGTATTTTCCTCAAACTTTATCTTAAGTTTACTTTATCTTTAATTTTCTGTTTCATTTTTTTTTGTATTTCTTGAATTAAGAATGACCAACAAGTTGATCGCGAAACAATTTTTGGTCGATCATATAGCCGACATTTATAATTCTTCAAACTAATCTAATCTTATAAGTCAGAGAACTTGAGGAAAATTTTTGGAAATAAGTCAATCAAGAAAAGTATAATCGAAAATTATAATCAAATATAGAAAATATATGTAAGATTTGTGAAAAAATTGGGCCGTTGGACTTGACTGGACCGGGACTCGAACCACGGATCTTTTGCTTTCCGGACGACTGTTCTTTATCCATTGAACTATCCAGGGCCCACCGTCCAATCTCTTCACGAATGCTTATCTAAGTATTTGGCATGGAAGGCGCTCGTTCCACGTATATTTACTCTTATTTTAGATCTATATACTTATGTTAATCAGCTATTTTATATTTAAAGTATATGAAGATGCACACCAAATTATAAATATATGGTTGGAATCATACAAATGGACTCCTAATTAATGATAAGATAAGAAAATAAAATTTAATTTGTATTTTGTCTTTGGACATTTTTCAATTAATAAATATTATAAATAAAATATCATGTTGGTTTAATAACCCTTGCCTCATTTTTATTTATTAGTACATAAGACAAATATATGAATGTGTTTAATATCAAAATTTAGTAGGTAGATCGCGCGCGCGCGACACATTTTAAAGAAAAATAGTCCATCATATAAAGTTGGCGACCCCCCTGCCTTAGATATATATCTCTCTTATAGCACTTTCTTCTCATTTTGATTCTTAAAGTTAAATAAAATAAGAAAAGAATTTAAAATTTCTTGAACGACACTCACCCACCATAGCTGCTATAAATTGTCGAAACTTTCCTGGTTCACTCGTTTGTTCCTTTATCTCTTTCATTGTGTTGAATATATATACAGAGAAAACTAAATGATCTTAAATATATGATACAACCGTTTTACAATAGTTTGATTTCTATCGATTAAAAAGAAAATCTATTTTTTTTTTATTATCAAAATATATAAAAGCAAATAATTCACGAGATAACAATCGATCAAATCGATTCGAATGATCGTATAATAATATAGTGAATTTATTAATTTATTGTTTATTATATTAAATTACTAATAATAAATAATTAATTGATTATATAAATTTAAGAATTATTCAATGTATTCTCCTCTATATTTCCTAACCGAGCAGTTCGCTATCTGCACTTCTTGGGACGACCTGTACGTCAGTTTATACCGATATCGACAACCCCTCGCAACCAAACGCGCGCGACTTTTTATCATCTCCCCTCGCTTTTAAATATACGTAAACGTATCTTCCACGCATTTTCTTCTTATCGGTTCTATCGTCCGCAATGAAATTTGTTATTTACATTCTCTCAATCGAAATTATTAAGACGAATGACATTTACTCTTTCATTCTTATTTTTTATTTATATAAAATTATGATGTTTCTTGGATATCTAAAAAATTCTCTTATTTCGTAGCATTTACAAATTTTCCATTAATATAAATTTGGGTAAAGTTAATTTACAAACATTGAAATTGGATACAAAAAATAGGTATATATTATTCTATTTAATATAATTAATTTATTATAAAAATTAAAAGTATATTTAATCTAAACTATCAATCATATTATATCTCTTTTTTATTATTTCCAGAAAACAATAAACATTTGAAAATTCCAACTTGGAAGCGTCTTAAAAGTTAAGTTCAATGAATTTTATAAATAAAGTAAGGTCAATATAAAAATTGAAAATGATTAATAAATGGACATTTTCCTTTTTTTTTTGGAACCTTTCCTGGGTAATGAATTAAAAATAAAGAAAATTGTGCTACGATAACAGGAATCTTGAGAAAGGACGATAGTTTCTTGATATTTAACAAAATTCGAATGATTATTCTTTAATAAAACGTATGAACCTTTATTGTTTTTATCTAATTTATGCTTGTTATTTTTAAAATAAATAAGATATAACTAAATTAAAATATATCAAACAAATATTATGTAGTTTAAAATGATGATTTAATTATAATTTTAATTGTATCATATTATTCAAATGTAATTATCATTTCTGTGTATATTATATTTTTAATAACTTATGATGCAAGTATAGGACATTTAATGAAGTAATTTGCGATAAATATCTACATTAATTACAAAATTAATCTTCACTTCATTGATGATACGATTATCATCTGATAATGAAATTGAAGGAAAAAACGCGTTTGTATTTATACTATCCGCTAAGTCGTTATTTGGATATATTTAAAAAAACCTGTATCAGTGATATAAAATTCAAAATAAAAATATTCTAATTGCAAAGCATACTTAAAATGACACGATGGCAAATATTCGTTATCTTTTAGATAAAACGTATTTCATGTTTGGCAAATATTGCAAAATATTTTTGTTAAATCATATTTTAAATTATGTTTCATTTTTCATTCTTTCTTTTCTCTTTTCTTTTTTGTTTTTCTTTTTTCTTTTTCATTTTTAGACATTTTCAAATATCCTCGATCGTACTGCAATCATAAAATATAAACAAGAAGGATTTCACGGCGCTTGTTTTAAATCAATTCGTTTCAATATCCAACAATAAAGTTTGTGGATGATTTATCGTTGAACCATTCCATGGTATCCTAGAAAAAGTTTCATTTACGGGTTACTTTACAAAGATTATTTACGACTCGGAAACAGCTAATTTTAAAGAATGAAAATATGATAAGAGAATATGAATGTTTCGATAAAATTTCCAATTACTCGCACGATTCATAATACACGATTCGCGTATTCTATGGATTACGCGGGAGTTTCAAATTTCTTAAATTGTTTATATCGATTAGAACGGTTTACAAAATATATTTAACAATTTTTAATGACATACGCGCGCGCCACCTACTCAATAAATAAAAATCATTAAATGACAAAAGGGAAATTAAGAAAAATACTTATTCGACGAAATTATCAAATCGTAAAGAATTTTTATATATTAAGATACCATGGGAATATTTCCAAATTATCACAAATAATCATATTTTTGTTCCACTGTATTACAAATTTTTGATAAATAAACTCCCAGAAGAAAACTAAAGAGAGAGTATGGTGTCGTCAAATCTCCTGACTCTACTTCCGGGCACACTTTCGCAAATAATTATGAAATTGCTCTAAAAATTAATAATTATTCGCCGAGGAAGAGCAAAGTAAAAAAACGTATCAAAACGTCAAAACGTGTGTGTCGCATCGTGCCCGGCCCAAATCGATACCAAGCAGTCCTAATCAGCTGATCTGCTCATCCCCCTTCCATTCTACTAGTTTCCATTCATGACACACAACACACCCTAAAGGTCGCCAACTGTCAAGAAACGGTTGTAATTGTTGAAGGTACGTAAATAATTATCAAGAATAAATTTTCGATTTCTAATCAAATTTTATCGAGCTTTAATTATTCCTATTTTGTTTAAATTAGCACATTCTATCTGTTAGAGAAATTTGTGCCAAATTGAAGAGATCTATTTTGTACGATAATTGTTAGGTTACGATTCCTTTGTTCAATAAAGACGTTCGAATAATGTTACTCTTTCTATAGTGTATTTTATAATTATTTTAACGATATTTCAACTTTTTCTAACATATTAATCTTTCTTTGTTAACAGAAAATTGATATTACATACTTATACATATACAGTGAACATTGCAAAATTTGTGGAGCATGGCATGGCACTGCAATGGTGTAACAAATCAAGAGATGGTGGCCAAGTTGAAAGGTAATGTAATGTGTTTATAGTTAGTAAGAAAATTATAATAAATTCAATTATGTTTGTAGAAACTGGTATTCTAACAACAGCCAGAGCAGAAGCTGCTATGCTCGCAGTAGACAGAGCAAGATATTGTCATGAAGCAAATCCTTATCTTGATCAACCTAGAAAAATTGGTTACAACGTTACAATCAGTGCTCCACATATGGTAAGTAAATTGTTTTTTTCTTTTGTCAATTTAATGAGTCATAGATTACGGTATTACTGAAATCATATTTTATTGATGCTACATACTTGATCAAGGTGATATTAATGTGTATAAAGTTGTGAACAGTCCATTTTATGTATTCTGTGGCAATAAGAAGATAAAGCAATGTTAATGTATTGATACTCATAATTACCTTTCCACTTGTTATTTACATTTTGAGAGAAAGACAATTGTCAGGACTAAGTATGTAAAGTTTTATCAAACTTTAATAAATACAATAACTGAAATTGTTTTGCTGAATCTATTATTTCAAGATTCATTTGAAATTAATTATAAATAATCTAAAGTTCATGAAGTTAACATTAAAAATAAGAGGAGTATAGTGACATTTCATCAAAGGGGCATCAATTGTACCCTATTATCATTCTTTATTGCTTGTAAAATAGATGTCGCTATTTGAGATTTTCCAAGCACGACTATATATATATTATACAAAATACCTCATTTATAAATGAACGCTTTTATTTGATTGTATTGTTTTAGCATGCCTATGCATTGTCGATTCTCTCCGATCAGCTGTTTGATGGTGCTAAGGCATTGGATGTTGGTTCAGGTTCCGGTTATTTATCAGCTTGTATGGCTTTTATGGTTGGTCCTCGTGGACGAGTCATCGGTATCGAGCATATTCCTGAACTAATAGAGGTTTCTTCAAGAAATGTACGGGAGGACTGCCCTCATTTTCTCAAAGATGGCCGTCTCATATTTGTTGGTAAGATTATCGAAGTATTCTAATATATTTAATTTACTCTACTACGTGGAAAAGAAAAAGACATTCTTTGATTGATTATGATTTTGAATAACGAAAACTAAATGGCATCCCTTTTGTACTAGTTTGAATTTTTTGCTACCATCATTACACGTATATCTTTAGAAAGTCAAAGATCTAATAAATAACAAAAATCTAGTTAAAATGCGAAAACCTCGTAATCTATCCACGTGGAGTAGGTATTACCACGAAGAATCAAACGGATCTCTGTCCATCAACTGTGTGACTTTGCTGTAATCATAAAAGATAGACTGGAGACTAACGACAGATCATTGTGAATGCGACTAGTGGGAGATGGCAGATTGGGACATACCACTGATGGGCCTTACAATGCTATACATGTAGGAGCTGCAGCTGAAACCCTTCCGCAAAAGGTATGAAAAAAAGAAAAATATTTCTGCATTTTACATATTCAATTATTACAATTTTGTGTATATATAGTTGGTAGATCAGCTAGCTCCTGGAGGTCGACTTATCTGTCCTGTAGTTGCCATTGAAGGTTTCCAAAGATTTCAAGATTTACTACAAGTGGATAAGAAAGCGGATGGATCTGTCACAAAACAAAAATTAATGCAAGTTTCATATGTTCCTCTAACTGATCCTAATACACAATTACGTAACTGAAGTACTTAGTAAGTTTTGCTACAAGTTTAAGATAGCAAAATGCTTACCAGTAATCGTTGATATTGGAACCACTGTGCTACTTTGTTTTACGCATAAGCAAATTATAGAAGCAGTTGCCCCTTTTCGACTGATGGCATATTATTAATAAAATATATTTTACTTACACCTTAAGTGTTGTACTTGTTCCTTATGACACTAATTTCTCAAATATATATACATATAATAAAATAAATAAAATATTTCTGATTTAAAATATTGTTTAGAAAATTATTTAGAATAATACCGATTACTTTTTAATTATTTCAAATGCTGCTTAATATTAAACTTACCATGACTGGTCAAATGACCGATTACAAAATTTTTGGCAGCAATTCTTATAAATTATTATGGTATTTAGTGAGTCAAGAATTCTTATTGCATAGATAGTATATATATATTTTTTGCTATACATAAATCATAAAATATATGACTTTTTGAAGAATGGTCATTTGATCCGCTGTGGTAGAAATAAGTATACATAAAGAATATTGATACATTTAGTGTAAATAAAATTTAAAAAATTAAATCTATACAATGCACTTAAATTATTCAACAGTATTTGCGTTGTATAATACAATTATACAAATATAAATCACATCGTAATATTAATTGCTCAGATTTTATCATATAGAGAACCACTGTATAGATAAATGTATAGAATTATAAAGAAATGAAAAGTATAATATTTTTACGTCATAAATTATTAGGAATGAAACAATTATAACAGATCGAAGAAATAAAAAAAACTAAATTCTTATGTTTTATAAATATTATACTTACTTTCAAATCAAAATAAATATATATTGAAAGATTATAATAATGCCAAGTGCACTCTAACGAAAATCGAGTATGTCAATCGATGCGCATGTGCAGATCGATTGTACCATGAACTATACGAAGTATATACTTAATGTAAAATGAATGGTTTAATTTAATATAAAATTAACGTTTAAATGTTCTATATCCATGTAATCAGAATAATAAACAATTGATTTTTAATGTATGTTGCTTAATGCATATACTACATGAAATGACATCTTTTTTATAAACTATGTAAACTTAATCACTTTTTCAAGTTTACTCTTATGTTTCTTATTACGAATACATTGTGTGTGTGTTTATTTCTATAAAATATTTAAAAAAAGACGTGATAAATTAGTTTAAGCAAAATGATTTTATAAATAATTTATTCGACGTTTGATGAGCATCATTTTAGTAACTGCATGGTTTTGAAATTAGAGTAGTAGGTGCATATTTGAATACTGCATAGTGTCCAAGATGGCTTCGTCCACGGGTGTACAAGTTATTCGTAATGCTCGACCTCTTTTGTCTACTAATCATGTTGATGCACATAGAAGAGTTTTAGCACTTTATAAAGCTTGGTGTAGACAAATACCTATTATGCGTATGTGGAAAAATATTTCTCGCTACTAATTCATATTTTTATTTAAGTTACAACTTTGTTACTTAACCTAAAAATTCCTATTTAACAATAAAAGAATAATGTACATAATTTGAAATAAAATTATGTATTCATTTTGATTATATTAAAATCAATGTGAATAGCTTTTCCTTTAAACAGTATGAAATTTAAAAAAATAATAGTAGTTATTCAAATAATCTCTTATATAAGCATTATATATATTATATATATATATATATATATATAATGTTTTTCTAAGCACTTATAACAAATATTTATCCTGCACATTTTTATTTATATTACAGTTTCTGATTATGACATATCATATACACAGAAGCAATGTTTAGAAAAAGTACGCTCAGAATTTCTACGGAATAAGTATGTGACAGATTTAAGAGTAATTGACTTACTTATAATCAAGGTAATAATAGTTTATTATAATTGTTTTTATTGATATTATTTCATTTAATTGTTAATATATTTAAGTATTTAAGTTTTTATTTCTTTATTAATATTTAAGTATATTCAATACCTAATAAGAGAAATTTTTTATTGAAACAAATGAATGATTTAATAATCTTAGCCCTTTACGACTATTTTAATTAACAGGATATAATACATTATTTTATTAGGGTCAAATGGAATTGCAGGAGGTAGTAGCTATATGGAAACCTACAGGAAATCTTTTATTTTGCTTTAAAGACACATTTAATCCAAAACCAAAAGATTTCTTGGGTAAATTCTATGCTGGTCACGAATAATACAATAAAATATCTGTGACGATAGTAAATTTTAATTCATGGTTGTAACTGTTAGATCTAAAATTCTATATAATTTATGTAAATACATACCAAATTTATTAGATTCGATATTAATGTATCTCTTAAAAAAGTAAAATATTGAAATAAATAAAGAATATCTTGCTGTTATTTATAAAAAAAAACATAAGCGTGTATTATTTCAAAAGTTTCAAGATTTTTAATCTATTTTTATACAAGGATATATATTTTCTATTAAGACACATTTTCCTTATGGATGTCGGTTTACATTTTTATGTAGGGTAGAAATTCTTTTTAATTCACATTTTTTTTTGTATTGATATATTATTGTTCAGTTATGTACATTTAACAACATCATATATTACTAAGCACCTTAGGTACAATCTAGTTCACTTTTCACAGCCATACAGATAATTTGCTTCCTTTAGTGAACAAGTTTAAAATTATAGATACATATAGATATACACGAGTGTGTACATAGATATACATATACATATACATATATACGTACATGTATACATATGCAGGTAATTGATGTACATACACCATATGCACATACTTTAAACATGAGCATGGAGCAAATTGAACGATGTATGTGGAAGACGTACGTATACTCCAGCTGCGTTAGCCTGTTTTCTTCTATGCAAGAAGTTTTAATACGCTAACTCATAAGAGATCAGAATGATCTTGCGCTTCTTTATACTTTGGTTAGAACGATATTTATAAAATAGTTTCTTGTCCTTATTGCGTACTCAGATTAAAAATTTTAACAGGCAAGGCAACAGTCCTGCGCTACATAAGTCACTTTCGGCATCGACGCTGACGCACAGTTTAGTACGAATTATAAAATATCTAGGTAATAAAAATATACACTGTCGGTAACTTTCACACACACATATATGTATATATATACATACATGTATACATATATATGTATATATATAAATTTCACGTACATAATCTAAAAAAAACATGGCAACAATTAATCATGCTTATGACTCATAAACATAAATATACATTATACACTTTCATTCTCGATATACAAGATTCTTCTATTACGTTATAATAAACTTGTTTCCTTTTAAAAAGGAGAAAAGCGTAGTAAGGATAATAAAAACAATTCATTCAAACTATACTTTCATGCTCTGACTGTATATCATATCCAGCAATAACACCCTTTCTTAAAGAAACATCACTGTTGGGTATTCCATTACTGTTAAACAGACTAACCAGCCAGCTTTTTATCGAATTTCGTGCTGAAGACTTTTTGTCGGGCACATTTTTCTTACTAGGATCAGGTGTCACTTCATCCAAAGAGCGCCAACGTTTCCCCTGCACTATTTCTCCTATACAACCACTCTCGTCACCCATTAGTAGAGGAGTCTCTACATCATTTGACGTTATATTGACGTGAGGTATGATTATCATATTGCCATTTGGATAATTATTGTTCAACACTTTACCAGCAAGATCGGTTTTCAAGTTGGTCCGTGGACACTTGTCACAATTTTCCAACGATCGAAAACTCTTTTTCAGTTCCTTCCAACAAAAATTCTCCTGTTCGAATCTTTTTGTATCAGTGTCGAATGGAAAAGGATCTAGCGAACGAGATTCCCTGATAACTGTTTGAGACGGATAATCGCTAGTTGTTGAGGAAGATGCAATTATCGATAAAACTCTTTCATTCCCCAGCAATTTTGGTTTAGCATCTGTGAAAAAATCGTCGAGAGCGAGCTTGATGTTAACAGCACGATTTTCAGTTTCTTCTTGAAGAGGAACATTTTCCAATGTACTCTTGGATATGCTATCTGATAAACAAAGTGGAGATCGTTCCAATTTTCGAGTAAGGAGTGATTTTGGTATTGGACTCGATCCACCACCACATTGTGAGGACGAATCGTCAGCAGTTGGACGTGGCACGCTAGATTGTCTTCGACTACCAGCACCTAAAACAGCTAATAATGATGCCTGACGTGAATCAGGATTAAATTTTGGGCTTCTTCTTGGTCTGCAGAAAAGTGGTGGAAGATCACCAACGTCCACCTATAAATAACAAACTTTCTAGTACAAAGTTACGGATATATTATCATAAATAATTAATTAAACAATATAAGATAATAATTATAAATGAATTCTTTTTATACCTCTCTTTTTTGAATAGCTTTTTCTGTGGCTCCTGTAAGCCAATAAGTTTTCACTTCGCCCTTTCCTTTCATATTTACTAAACCACGTTCCTCGATAATGTAACCACCTATTTTATCCAAAGCATCCTTGCATTGACTACTAATATGAATACGTAATGGTTCACCGTTTGATTCCATTCTTGATGCAGTATTCACAGTGTCACCAAATAAACAATATCTAGGCATTGTTAATCCTACTACTCCTGCGACTACAGGGCCTGTGTGCATTTGTTTGTAAAAAACACGTTTTATATTATTTAATTTATATTAGTTTCAATGTAAGGTTCTTATATATTATTCTTTATGTATTTTATTTTACCCGTGTGAATTCCAATACGAAGTTTAAGAGTTTCCTGAGGACGGTGAGCTATTGTGTGATGTTTGACGGCATTAAGTAATTCCAAAGACATAGATGCTATTTCTCCGGCATGCCTGTTTCCATTTTTTATTGGTAGTCCTGACACCTAATAAAAAATAATAAATTATGAAAAAAAGATATTCATTGATAAATTTAATATCCTAATATATTGTACTCACAACCATGTAGGCATCTCCTATAGTTTCAACTTTGTACACATCATATCCTTTGATTATGCGGTCGAATAGAGTATACAAGTCGTTGAGAAAGTTTACAACCTAAAAAAATGATATAAATCTAATATGCTAATAATGACGTAAAGTTAAATTAAAAAGAATTTAACTATCTTAAACATACTTGGAAAGGTGTACTTTCTGCTGACATCGCTGTGAAACCAACAATGTCGCTGAAATATATGGTTACCAAATCGAATGCTTCAGGTTCTACTCCTATACCATTCGTTAAACAATTGGCAACTGGTCTACATAAAATAAAATAAAAAGTTTATAAAAATGTTGTCCATTGATAATGATAAAAATAATTATATATCAAGTGATCCAATAATTATTATTGCTCCTAATATCTCCATTATTTTTTATTATATAGAAAAATACTCAAAATAAAGTCACGCTATTTCATTTGATAGTGAAAAAAATTTGTTCTTGAGATTATTTTTTTGAGATTTCAAGCTTGTCGGTATTTCTCAAAATATATTACGATAAATTCTCATAGAATTTCGAAATAATGTCTGGTAATTCATGCAAATGAGACAGGCCGTATTTATTTTTTCAGTTGAAATTAGAAAAGTACAATTCAAAATGGATTACATATCGCGATTATATTTTCATCACAAGTGCAAATGCATACACGTGGATTATTGCGCTTGGGATAAAAATGAATTAGTGAATATGCAATTCACCTTGAATTATTCATCTTTTTCGTTTGTTATTGTTTTCTAATTTATATAGCAAACAAATCGATATGGCTTCATTTACGTGAATTACCAGACATTGTTTCAAAGTGCTATGAGAATTTAATATTTTTCTACTTTGTACTTCATTTTCTTTTATTCAAAATCAATTTACTCAAAACATATGATAGGGTTCTGTTTAAGAAAATACCAATAAATCTTGAAAAAACAATTCTTTTTAACATCAGATTACGATGCCCCTTGAAATAGTTTTTCGCGAGTATTTTTTCATAAAACTAAAAATAATGGAAATATTAATGGTACTTATTAGACTGTCTAGTATTATATAAATATGTTTGTTAGTTATTGCATTGTCTATAGTATTATATAAATATATTTTTTATTAACAAAGATCGTAAATTAAACTCACTCAGGTAACATTCTATGTAGCAGGTCTTCAGTTTTTTGTTTCTCCTCATAAAGTAAACGCGTACGTTCATGGACTAGATCTTCGAGATTGTTCGCATATTTCTCCATCATATCCATCATTTGGTCCATTATATTACGATGCCGACCATCTTTCATTTTCTTTAATCTTGTCCTTATTGTTTTGAAGTTTGGCCTAAGTTCTGGACATTCCGCCCAACAGTCGGTTATAGTACTAACGATATATTCAGCACAATCTGCCTCAGACTCGGACAGTATCTCTATGTTAGGTCTAAACGGTGGTTCACCATCTTCTGGGAACCTTTTCACTCGCTCTATGATTTCTGTCAATTTGTTAACGTTTCATATTTATTTTTTCTGCAGCTATACCTTTTGGCAAATGCCGATTAACAAAAGACTATCACTACAGTTTCAAATCTCTTTATAATATCGTGATAGTTACCTTTGGGTTCCAAATTAACACCTCCATACGGTCCTTTTCGTCCAATTATTTCAAATAATATAATAGCAAAAGAGTAAATATCTCCTTCCTGAGTGCCTTTGATCGGTGCATTAGGATCCCTCATCAACTCGGGGGCTTTCCAAAATAGGTCTGAAATATTAAACGTTAAATAATCTTTTCCGTCGAATAAAGTTTGTCATTTTTTTTATTAAACTTACTTCGAAAATACTGATGTTCTCCAATGCTGTCAGACTCGGCACAATGACGCATATCGTGTAAACCAAAATCGGAAACTTGGAGTACCCAACGTGAAGTAACCACGCAATTAGAAGATTTTAGATTACCGTGACAGAATAACACTGATGTTTCGTGAATATAAAGCATACCCTGTACGACAGAAATCATTTCTAAAATCACTCTACGATAGCGTAGCACAGAACTAACAGAACGCTGGCCATCAAAGTGATCACTTACCTTAATGAGATCGTGAACTAACGACGCAATGAACATATCATCTAATTTTATATCTTCATTTTCAATGATGTCCTACAAAAGTTTGAAATAATGACGATTAAATGATTATTAAGGTTAAATAAGCTGTATATTAGATAAACTTACATAAAGACTTCCTTTGGCACAATAATCGGTAATTAGCAAGATCCTCATCGGTTCTACACACGCACCGATAAATGAGTTCAGATTATCGTGTCTGATATCACGAAGAATACGCATCTCTTTCATAACATCACGCGATGTATCCTTCTTCTTCGAAAATTTCAATTCCTTTATTCGCACCACTACACCGTGATAATGGCCAGTTTGTGCGAATACTTGACCACCACATCTCGATTCGTAAGACATTCCACTAGCTAAACTTAACTGTAAAAAACATAAATATAATTAAATAAAATAGGAGAGATTCTGTGTCGCGTTTTCTGATCTAAGAATCAGATAATATGAAGGAATTGTTTCGTAAGAATAAATTCTCCTACACAAGAACATTATTTCTTCAAAAGTCTAACCCAATATAATGATTAATAAGTATTTAATTATACAAAAATAAAATATATATAAACAACTATTATATTGGGTTAGCAATTAAGTGATTGCGGACTTTGTCGATAGATAAATCACATTTAATTTAGTTTTTTGATAGCAAAGATCAGAAATTTTATGAATATGGAATTAGGACACTGCTTAAACGGAAGCAAAAGGTCATCTTAATTGAACAGTACCAAATTGAATAAAGTTATATTTTTCAGCAAAATTTTGAATTTTCCTTCTTATTTAAAATCCGCAATCACTTAGTTGCCAACTCAATAGATCGAATACAAAAGATTGTAACCATTTCGACGAATTATCTTTTAGGATGAATGCATGATCCTTAACGAATATGGAAAAGGATATGTAGAAATATTTTTGAAAAAACAATACCCAAAAAAGAAGAGAATGCTTTTCTATCAATCGTGAGCGTATCTGTATTGTCCGTTGAAATATTTATATAAAATGCATGAACACTTTTCACATGAGGTAACAATACTTTGTATGATTTTGTTTAGGCAACTATTTCTTGTAACTACCGTTTTGGAAATTATCTCTTCTTACTGCTAGCTTGGATAAACTTTCGAAGATTACATGCTTTGTTGGAAAGCTTAAAATAGGAATGACGTATTCCTTTCTTATTTTACGGCCTTTTCATAGCGAAGCCCATCATGATTTTAACATAAAGTATTTTTATGCACCTAAGAGATTAAGATATCTCTAAAAAAAAGAAAGTACTACGCAATACAGGAGACGCACCCGTGTGCTTCAAGAGAGGACAATACATTCTCATAAAAATGATTAAGATTTTTGAAAGAAATAAATTAATATAATAAATTGAAGATCACTGACCTTACTAGGGGACGACATCATATTATCGAGACGAGGATAGCCACGTATCTCCTCTGGGTTAATCTTCCAGAGCAAACCTTCGATCTCTTGTTCGATTTTCCACCTTCGATAGATGCTTATTGTAATCACAGCGGAGCAAAATAATATAACACCCAGGACACCGGCAACAACGATACTACGCATGTGAGTATCATCTTTGGGACAGTGCTCGTTAAGAAAACCACAACCTGGCTCGGCTTCCGGTTTATTTTTACCTGGCCAATCCATAGACTCTGACGGTCTGTATAACTGCGCGAGAAATATACTTTAATATTCGTTAAATATAGGAAGAAAGCAACAGAAAAAGAGAGGGGTAAGGAAAAGGGAGAGAAAGAAAATGACTTGTTAAAATAATTCTTTTGCGTCAATATTTCAATATTTTAGTTTTCTTCATTATTCCTATATGTAAAAGAATGATTCGCACGAGTGCTGTTAAACTCACTCACTAGAGTTTCACCCTGCTGAAACTGTCCTACAGGTTTCATTTGATAATCGCAGGAAAAATTGTTGAAACGGAAAGGATCCTTCTTCAGAGCTAGCACCGAAAAATTTCCCTCCGAATCCCCGAACTTGTCCAATTTTATAGTCGCTCCGCTGACACCTACAGGCAACGACAATTATAAGTATAAATATATATATTGCAAAAACAAAGAAAACTTCAAAAATAGAGAAAATTTTGTAGATCCAATTGAATGAGAAGAAAAAAGAAAATAGTATTCGAGTCTCGATTATCAAATCATACGTACTTACTTTGATAAGTGTGATTTTTGATGATCGTCTCTATTATTTGTGTTCCGTTACTAGCGATTTCCTGTAGAGTATGTTCCGGTTGATCTCGTATAAGTTGATCCAATGCTCTAGCATACAATTTCACCGAATCATAAAGATACGCCGCATGAATGGAGACATACTATAAAAGAAAAAAAATCCAAATCTTTTTTAGATAAAAGAATCTCCTCGCTGTTATTTCTTTGTCCTAACGATCGTTATTCCTATTATAAAAATACCTTTTCATATTTTTTCAGAAGATCTGGAATAACAAAGTTGAACGGTTCCTTTTCACTGTAGTCTCGGACTTTTTTCGTAAATTCCTCATAATTTTGAGTGGGTGGTGTGGAAGCAACAACCATGAGCGATCTTGCCTTCTTTAAAAAGTCTTTCGGTTCGAGACAATTTTCCACACTGTCTAAATGTTCTGGTTCTGAAAAGATTTAAATCAAGACATATTAATTATGATAATAATCTAATTCGTTATTAACGTATTTCTACGCGATTTTACGATTTTATTTTTGTCCGAAACATAATTTATCACTTGAAGGTTTAATTTTGAAGAAGGTCGCTTGGATAACAGGCATACTAACTCCATAAGTACTTTTGTGCTTCTCGTTGTGAATATGTCATCATATCCACATGTATGACCATGTATTCTCCGTTGTCCAGTAACCTTTGATTCAGCATCGAATTCATCATATCTATTAAAGACATTGCGGTACCAAGAAAAATGTATACTGAAACAATCAAAATGAAAATTTTCGTTGAATGATTTTATCAATGCCTCAATTCTTTCGTAGGTAATCGAGTCATCGAACTTGGAACTTTTGAATTTTTATAAAACGTTAAAAAAAAACAAAATAACATAGAAAAGAAAAGAAAATTTATAAACAAAATTATTAAAGAACCTTGCAATCATCTGAAGAATTGTCTTTATGTATTTGTTTTTAAGAAACATTCGTGTGAAGAATATGAGATAAGAACAAATTACAGGATCATTAAAATGTGATGATAAAAAAAAAATGTAGACTGACTTCTCGTCATATTTTTGGTCTCCTGTATAAGTTGAAACCATACGCTGACTTGACAACATGGTAACCTCTCTTCGCAACAAGTATGACGATCCTCGACGGTCCTATAGTGATTCACCGTCAGATTGTGCTTCGTCGCCTGTTCCTCGAGTGAACGAGCTACCGTCGACCAGGCGATTTCCGTTATAATCGTGAATTTGTTCCAACCATAATGAAGTAGAAGAGCTATCACCGACTTCGTAACTTGTGTATCCGGAGGCTCCGTTCTTGCAAAGGTGTTCACTTTCGAAGCTTTGTAGTCCGAACATTTCTGTAACAATAAATCGATTTGTAGATCTTATCTTAAATCAAATTTATGAATGACGCGAACAATTTTTACTTCTTTTTTCTTTTTTTTTAATATATGAATATAAATCGACTCGCTATTCCATTGTATTTAATTATTTTATATATAAGGATAGAGAGAAATTTAACAATAAGTAAGAAATATAAATAAAATTCATCGTAAATGAACAAATGTTTATAAAAAATGATCAAAAAGAAAAGTATAGAAAAACGAATAAAGTGAAAATTCGTGATATCGGCAAGAGGTCTCGAATAAAACTTATTAATTAAAATCGACTTTAATTAGCTGTTTTAGCGCAACGCATCGTAATCACGCTGTTCGTGTAATACCATAGGGTGAAATGTGTTGCGATGTTTGGTCACGATCGTCAATTCGCAACACGCTCGGTTCCGAATGTAGCTTTGAGTGTTTAATGTAAAACTTCTGATATGACTGATGAAACGAAGCGCGAGTGCATCGAGCAGCATATTTCGACGAAAAAAGAAGCAGCGCAATCGCGACGATCGGCATTACTCACAGATAAATGAACGAAGTTGCTATCGCGCTGCATGGCTCAATCCGACACGTATTTTTAAAAACTCCTGCCACTAATTGTAAAACGGTTTATATGCTAGAGATAAAAAGAAATAAAAAGAAATAAAAAAAAACTGGTGTGTGTACTTATCTACGTACGTAAGAAGTTATACTTCTTTAGCGTACCAAAACGAATATAACCTCAAAAATAACTTCAATTTGCCCGCGCATCGTAAATATCGACAACTTCGTGGTGTCGATTTTTCGGTCGCATTTAACTTCAGTTTTTACAAAACGCGCCAAAAGAAGTATAACTTCAAAAAAGGAATATCGTTTTAAATTGATAGAATCATAAACACCGATTGATCGGTGTTGTACCTTGGTTCGGGTAAGTAAATATAAATAATAACCAGTTCGAGGGAGTAAATAATTGTGGAATTCGTTGAGTTTGATTAAAAGATAAAGGGAAAGATAAGAAACATTAAAAATTTAGGGAAAATGTTTTAGAGAATTTTAATCGTATCTCTTAAAACGTATAAAGTGCAAAGTGGAGTGCAGTGCAATCATAGAGAAAGACAAATAAAGAGAAAGGAAGAAAGATAGACAAAAAGAGAGAGGAAGAAAAACAAAATGCAGCAGACAGAGAAGACGGGAAGATAGAAAAAGAGAAAGAGTAAGTGAGAGAGGGAGAGAGACAGGGAAAGAGAGAGAGGAGCAGACAGAAGCAAGTCGAATGCACTCGTGGGAGAGAAAGAGATAGAAAGAGAGCGGAGTGGAGCAAAGTGGGCTGCGCCTGGTACCATGGTGTGTGGCGCGAGTTAAATATAAACTCGCGGCTTGCCAGGATGGAGGGTAAGAGGAGAGTGGAATGAACGGGAGAGCGAACGAACGGGTGGCAGTGGCGGCTGTGCCGCGAGTTGCTCTTCGTACCGCCTGAAATGTGACATGCCGCTCATTAACATATAAATTAAACGTGACAACTGAGGGTCAGTTCTTCTTCAATAATCTACACATATATATATATATATATATATATATATATATATATATACATAAAATGTGTATATAAGAAACATCTCATTTCTTATTTATATTTTTTTTCTATCTTTATCTATCATGTTTCTAACAATTTTGTACTTTATCGTACTCTCTAATAAATTTCA